AGAAGGATCGGGCAAGGCCTGGGGCTATGCGCAAACAGCCCCCCCAGAGGTAGTCCAAGTCGGCCTCAGCAAGTTTCGCGGTGGACCACGGCGATTTCACGGGCTCCGGGGTTCTGCCAGAAGCAGCGAGGCGACGTTGAGACCGGTCTCGAGGATGAGGGCTTTCTTCCCCAGGCCACAAAGCAAATGACAGGATTCTGTGTCTTCAGTCGTTGACTTTACATGTTTTGGGGGCTGTTGGTCTTGATGTTTGGTTTTGCGCTCCGCTCGGGGTCCGCCTGGATGGGCCCGCGAAACGAACCTGCCATCGCCCGGGCGACCATTCCCCGTGCCTTTTCGGCATCGTGGCTTTTTCCCGCAGGATGATCCAAGATGCCCCTCGATGGTCCTCGCCGAGAACACTGCACACGTCCGAGCGATGCCAAGCAAAAGGGAGAAGGGGCGCGCGAGAGAGCAGGGCGAGACTCAGGCGGCTGCGTCGGCGCTCGCGCGGTGAGCTCAGCCCCCGCACCCTGAAGTGGGCTGATGATGAGGAAGATGAATTAGGGTACCCTCCCAGAACCGACCTCGATCTTATACCTCGGTCCGGCTGTACTCCTCGGTCACCCCGGGGGCCAGCGCGGACCTTGGGACCGTTCAGAAACGGCCCGCGACGAAAAATCAGCCAACGCACCTCCGACTTTTTTTCGTCACGGGGTCCCTAAACATCCAAACCCACTTCCCAGATGGTCAATTTCGGATTGTCTCTTGACCGCCTCGAAGCCCCGAAAAGGCCACACGGGGCTGAAACCATGGGGGGAGCCGTCGGAATTGACAAAAACAGTACGCCTGCATGAGGACTGGTCCCCAAGGATGAGGTCGAGCAGTCCAAGGGCCCGCGTTGTAAAAAAACAACAACACGGCGTCGAAGGATGGGGGAGAGGGAGGTTTCTCTCCGTTTTGCTCCTCCTCCTACTTCGCATCTCCTCCTTCTCCTCCTCCTCCTCCTCCTCCTGCTGCTCTCCCTCCTCAACTCCTTTCCCAGGGGCCTCCTGGAGCCTCCTGGAGCCCCATTGGGGGAAGGAAGGGGGGCGGAAACGGGAGGTGGAGGGGTGGATTAAAGGAAGGGGACGGGGGGGGGGGGAGAGCGCGTCTGGGCTGGGGGGGAAGAGAAGAGGCAGACGGGGAGGGGAACTGACGGAAGGACCAAGCAGACGCGACGCGGGTTTAAAAATGAGCCATTCCGGTGCGAGCTCGCGAGCGAATTATTCGAGGGACGCTTGCACGAATCACCCCGCTGTGGGAGCTCTCGCTCCCGCTCTGGAGACCGCCAAAGCGGTACTTTTGCGCGCCGCACATCCGCGTCACGCCTCCTCCGTTTCCTCCTCCTCCCTCTTCCTCGTCCTTCCTCTGCCTCGCCCTCCTCCCCATCGTCCTTCATCCCCGTCTTCCCCCTACATCCTCTTTCTCATCATAAGTCGAGTCCCCCTCTTCGTCATCTCACTCTTCCACGCACCAGCGCAGAATGTTGTGAGACTGCTCCAAGAAACTCGGCCACAGCACGAAATTCGGCCACCCGCCGTCTGCTCTCCCTCTTTCTCCTCTTCCTCGTTCTCCTCCTCCGCCTCCCCTGCCGCGAGAGGCCTGCACCCCTGCAAGGCTGACTCCGCCGCCACCCCTTTATCGGGTGCGGATAAGCGTCTGGCGTGTTCGGCTGCCTCCCTCCCCGTTCCCCCTCCGTGGGGTCCAGGAGGGCGGTCTGACCTCCTCAGCGCGCATCTGGCCCTCTAGGCTGAAGAAGAAACGCCCCGACTGACAAACGACGCCTGTGAATATGTGCAATGTGCCTACAGCGGGCCTCATGTTATACCAGATGTATCCCTGGACCGCGCAATTTACCTGGACTAACATGCGTAAAGCACGTCAGTTTCTGCTTGGCTCCAGTAAAGCCCCACGGGGCCCCAAGATGACCTCGCACAGGACTTCGGAAAAGCAAGCAGACGCCACACCCCACCAACCCTCTGGGCGTAGGTGGCCCTCAACACGAACTCGCAATAAAAAAAACGAAGCCCCTTCGTTTCCTTCGGGGAGTGACGATTGCCTTTGACTTCAAGCCTCACAGGGCCAATTCGGGCGCGGGCCACTCCCTGGATAAATCCCACCTACGCCCTCTGGGCACAAATGGTCTAAAGCGTTTCCTTTTACACCCCCTTCTTCCGTTCGAGGAGGGACTTCTCACTGCTCCTTGCTGATCAACACCCCCTCCCCAAATCGACCGACCAGCAACAATGCCCGCCCATCACCTCCGCCAAACACAAACGGTACAACCTGTATACTGAGGACAAATCTAAGCCATGTTCGGGCGCCCCGCGATCATGTTGCATCGGTTCTTTGGCAGGGGCGGCGGGGGCGCCCTCAGATTACCCGATGTGCGCATGCCCACCCACCGTCCTTGTCAACAGTCGATGCAAAGTGATTGCGGGTCCACTCACACAACACACAATGCTTGCAAACCCGCCATCGCCTCGCATTGGTTTTCGACAAGGGTGGTGGTGGGGTCGACATCTTGTCCGATGTGTGCAGACGTGCGCTGGCGTACCCGGCGCACTCTGCGCGCGACGCGCACGATGCGCACGGGGTGCACCCCGCAGAGCTCCTGGACCCGCATAGAATACCCTGGACCCCCCGAAGCCTCCCGGATTCCTCTTCCCTCCTCCTGCTCCTCCCCATGCCTCGCTCCTCCTCCTCCTCCCTGCTCCCGCTGAAGGCGGAGCTGGCCAAGCGGACCAGACCGTGCTGGATCGCGACAACGGCGGCGACGACGACGAGACCAACCATACCCCACCAGACCACTGGAGGACCAGACCAAGCCAGCCCCGGAACCGACCATGTTCGACTCAAGGGAGAATATCGAGGGTCAGGGTCAAGAAGGGGAAGGAAGAGATCAAAGATCCGGATCCATGTGTTAGCTTAACGCTTTTGCAAACGTTTAGGCCCCTCGGCGTGTCCTCATCGCCACGGCTGGTTCTGGTTCGAACTTATGGTCCGAACCCGCTCCAGGAGAGGTGTGGGAGTCGATTTGTGAGAAGGGGGGTACAAGATAGAGGAATCACCTGCGCATCTGAGGTTGCAACCTCCTCCTCCTTCTCCTCCTTCGCCTCCCCGACTCCCCGCCTCCTTCCACCTCTTTATCCTCAGCCTCCTCCCCAGGGCTCCTGGTCCACCTCAACCCCTCCTGTTCCTTCCCCTCTCTGTCATTATCGCGGTACCGCATCGCAAAAACGCTCAGCACGAGAGCCCTGATCAGGACGAAGCGCAGCCTGTGGTCATCCAAACCCAAGCTGCGGTAGGCAGGTGAAAGCGACATATCACTGGAGGAGAAAAATTATGTGGCTGTAGTCTCACGAGTCTGGGACAAGTGGTAGCAGCCCCAAGACCTGTCAACGAGCAAATCAGCCCTCTATCTCTCTGGTTCTCTGTCTGCCTGTCCCTCTCTCTCTCTCTCTTGTTTTCTCTCTCTCTCTCTCTCTATCTCTCTATCTCTCTCTCTCTCTCTAACTACCTACCTACCTACCTACCTACCTACCTACCTACCTACCTACCTACCTATTCCTCCACCTGCTGCTGCTGCTCCTCCTCGTCATCCTCCCACTCGTCCTTCCCTCCTCCTTCTCGCACGTAGCTTGGGTCCTTCCTCCCCCCCCTTCCTCCTGCTCCTCCTCCTCCTCCTTCTTTTCCTCCTCCTCTTCCTCCTCCTCCTCCTCCTCCGCATCATTCTCATCGTCGCGCTCGGGCTGATGCTACCCCTATCTTTCTCCCCCGCATCCTCACAAGAAAGAGAAACTCTGTTCTTGGGCTGTTCTTGGGCTGTCTGCGCCTTGAACCGTCTTGGGCCCCTCTTGGGCCGTCCTGGGCTCGTATTGGGGCCCTCTGGGGTGCCTATCGGGCCATCTTGGAAAGATCTCGGGGGCCTCTTTGACGGTTTCGAGCGCTCTGGAGACCGAGAAGCTGAGTATGCGAACGTGTCACCCAAACCAAATGGAAACCCACACTTGTTGCCTCTCTAGGGGGTCGTCTTCGGGCCCCCTTGGGCCATCCGAGGAGCCCGTTGGGCCGTCGATTGGCCATCTTGGGGCCATCTGGGGCCATCTTGGGCCCATCGTGGCCAGCTTGGGGCGCTCGTCGGGCCCTCCTGAGGCCTCCCATGGCCCTCTGGGGCCGTCTTGGGGCCATCTGGGCCCGTTTTGGGCCCTCCTGAGGCGCTCCAGAATCAGCCTCCCTGGCCGCGCCCGAAGTTGTGCTGGATCAGGTTTCGATGTGAATCAATACTGATTGCGTTGGCACAAGAAGCTTTCTTTACCTATACGACCACCCTTCGGGTCAGAAGGAGGTTGGGGTGCAGGGTGGAATCAATCAAGTGCTTGCAAATGCGATGGGTGCAATGATGACGATGCTGGTGACGCGCCCTCGAGTTAGCGACGACGCGTGGTGACGATGTTGCGCTGGGGTGTAATGTCACGATCGTCCCTGCTTCCGATCTCAATCAATGGATGCCAATATCAGTCTCACATAATCGAGCAAACCCGATCGATCTCACTATAGATGACACTATCTATCTCACTATAGATCTCACTCTATATATATATACACATATCTTTCGATATCACTATCGATGTCAATATCGATTTCCCTGTCGATCTCACTATCGATCTCACAACCAATGTCAGAATCAACCTCACTGTCGATGTAATTTTGGATCTCGCTATCCATCCCGTTCTCGCAGTCTGATTACCGATCGCACCACCGAATTCACTATCGGTGCCAAGACGGGCCACCGCCGCCAACGCCCGCCGACCGCCGACGGGACACCGACGGGACACCAACGCGACACCGCAGGACACCACGGCGGGACATCCCGGGCCAACGCATGCCCACCGGGGGTGGAGGGGCGGTCCACTGCATCCGAATCGCCCTAGCGACGGCGGGGTCATTTTCTCGCGCGCCCACGCAGCTTCGCCTTGCCCGCACGCACGACACGAACACAACACCAGCACCGATTTCCTGGTCGGAGACTCTCCGCTCCGCTGCGATCTCCCCCCCCGACCTCCGACTACATACCTATCAATAGTTACAGGCATGACTGGGAGTGCAAGCGTCCGCTCGCATTCTGAAGTCGTCCTGGCAGAAGTCTGAATGCAACAGTCTGGCCCCCAGCTAGATATGGCATGTCAGAGTATTTCAGCCTTGCGGCTGGAGAGACAGCTTGGCAATAGCTTCGAGCACATGGAAGTGCATGGACGGCAACTGCAGACCTACCCTGATGAGACCAGGGCTGAGCATGGCATGACTGAAGCAGAATACCCTGTTCCCGCTCCCCTGGACTGGCGCACGCGCCCTCCCGATGGCCTACCCGGCCAGCCCAGAACACAGGGCTCGGCCGCTCAGTGCTCCGGCAGAATCGGGGACGCCCTGACCCGGGTCAGTGCAAAGCCGGGTCAGTCAGGCTTTGCAAGATCCTGCGAGATCCTGCTGGATCCTGCACGCAAGCCCGGGGCAATGCACCCTGGCTGTGTAGGATCCCGCGAGACTCGGCGCTCTGGCTGACCCCCGTTTGCATTGACCCCCGCCTCAAGGCTCCCGACAGAATGTCTCGGTCTCCGCTCTGGCGCACGCCTACCGCTGCGCCCGCTCTCCCTGCGACACGGCCTTCTCCGCGGCGCCCAAGGACTAGGCGGAAGACTGCGTGATGGCGGCCATGGTCGCCCGAGCCGTGGGCTCGACCGTGAGGAGTGCGGACAGCGTGTCCAGCACCGCCTCGCTGCGCACGCCGCCCATGACCTCACGACATGCTCACGTATCTATGTCCATGCTCTCGCAGTCTGGATACCGATGCGCCAACCCCTGGGTCCGCGATTGAGCGGATACTCTCCGCGCGGGGCATCCGCGCACAGCCGCCTGGGATCCTGCGGGCCGCCGCCTGGGAGCCCAGGCCGCGGAGCTGTGGACATGAAAACGTGCCTTTGCCCACGGCGACCGCCAGTGCGCGAGCGTGGCTGCCGCTGGTGGAGAAGAAGCTCTTGATCCTTCTAGCGGCGGGCTCCAGCTCCGCCTCCTCCGGCCAGCCGACCGCCTGCCTCATTGACCCCAAGCCCCCGGCCGCCTCCAGGAGCACCACCTCGGCCCCGCGCAAGGCTAGGAGACCCGCTGGCGCAGAGAGGGACCATGCAGGAGGGGGTTGGGGCGGGGGCACAGTCGTTCATGCCCTGGCCTCTTGTTGTCTACACATCACCACTACAAACTTTTGCTCATTTTCGGCCTCTGGGCCCTACTGGTCACCGGGCCCCGGTCGCGTCGGAGAACGACTCGTGCCGAGAAGCCGGTCCCGGGGGACGGGTCCAGACGTCAAGGTGCGAAAAAGTCACGACGGAGGCTGTCTGGGGTGTGCAAGGAGACGACGGGGTCAGGAGCACGAGCCCCCGTCGCCCGCGTTTTTTTTGTTGTGTGTGTGTGTTTGTGTTTTTCCCCCGTGTGTGCTTCTTTCCCCACAGTGCTTTTTTGTGTTTGTGTGTGTGTGTGTTTTTTGTGTTTGTTTTGTGTGCGTGTGTTTTTTTTTGCACACGGCCTCGTGATGGCACCCCGAGGCGGAGCAGGACACGCCAGTGAGCGGTTCGAGGGCGCTCGGGCCTCGAGCCGCCGTGGCCAGGCGGCGGGGGGAGCGGGTCTTCTAGAGCGCCGCTCGGCCGCCAGGGGCCCAGGGTCGGGAAACATCACAGCTCGCCCCCCCCCCCCCCCTCCCACTCGAAGACCATAGATGCCATCTCGAGCACTGCTGCTCCTCCTCCTCCTCCTCCTCCTCCTCCTCCTCTGCATCCTGATCCTCCGTGTCTTCTTCACTCTCCTTGCTCTCCTGGCCCATCCTGCTCCTCTCATGACCCTCATCCTAGCTGCTCATCGTCTGTCCTCCTTCTCCTCCTGCGTCGTCCGCCTCCCCATCTTCCCCACCACCGTTCTCCTCGTGCTTCTCCACTTCCTCATGCTGTGCCCATGCTCCCATACTGGCCCAGACTCTCTAACGCACTGTCTGCGCTCTGCATATATAGTGTCTACTCTGCCAGCTTCTCCTGCATATACTGTGCCCTCTACTCTACGCTGATTGCTTGCTCTGTACTCTACTCTGCTGCTGTATGGTCCACTCGATGATGTGTGCACGTGCTCGCTGTCCCACCCTCTGTTCCCTAATTGACGCTCCGCTCGTGGATCAGTCCGCCGAGGTTTCGCTTACTGGGCGCCCGTGGGTGCCCCATGCGCTGGCTGGTCCGCCGAGGTTTCGCCTCGCAGGCGCCACGTGCGCTGGCCGGGTCCGCCGAAGGTTCGCCTCGTGGGCGCCCCGTGCGCTGGCTCGGCCCGCCGCGGTCTCGCCTCGCAGGCGCTCGTGGGCGCTTCGTGGACGCCCCGCGCGTTGGCTGGGTCCGCCGAGGTTTCTCCGAGTGAACGCCCACGTGGGGCCCGCCGAAGGCTTTTTTACGCCGCGAAAAAGCATTAGGATATACACCCGTCCCGTGGCCAGGGTCACGGCCTCCCTCCTTTAAACAAATGGTTTCTCCCTTTTTTTCCGTTGTGTAATGTGCTGCACGACCGCTCATCTTATACATCATATCCGCCGCTGGGTTTGGTGCCCGCTGGGGCGTGTTACAATGCTCTTTTTTGTGAAATGTTTCAATGGCCGCCCCGCCCCCAATGGTCGCCCGCACCCCTCTGACCCCCCCCCATATGAATTTGCTCTCTGGCGTTAGCCGCCGTGTGTGGGTTTGCGTGTTTGGGTGCCCAACATCCATTGCCTTCGGAACAAGTTGTGGGGATGTGTCAAGGGATGCGGCGGTCTCACCACTCCCAAGAGGGGAGCCGCCAGGGATGGGGATGGGGACGCTCCAAGATTCGCACCCAAATCGTGGAGGAGACGTGTGACGCGGTTTCCCTGCTTATGCCCCCACCAGTTTTTATGTTTCGACATGTGTGTTCCTTACTTGCTCAATCACGCACCTCCTCCTCCTCCTCCTCCTCCTCCTCGTTTCAGCATCCCTCATAGCCAGCCTCGCTCGTACCTCGGCTCGCCCAGATCCAAACTCACACCAAACTCAAGTTCACCCACACTTAGACTACCTCATACTCAGACTCACTCAAAATCAAACTCACCCGCCGTCAGGTTCACTCATACTCCGACCCAGTAGTATCCAAGTTCACCCATGCTCAGGCTCGTACTTATCATGCCCATATCCAGACTCATTCGCACCCAAACTCGCTCATACTCATGCCCGTTTGCATCCGACGGGCCACGAGGCCCCCAAACCCACTCCCAGACGATCCCAGAAGCCTCCCAAAGGGTCTCCTACATACCCCTGGAGGGCCCCAGGACGGGCTGGAGGGCGTCCAAGACGGCCCAAGAGGGCTCCGAAAACAGTTTCAAGAACGCTCCAGGAGCGTTCCGAGAGGCCCCCAAACTCCACATGGGCTCCAAGTGGCCCCCAAACGGGCTCGCAGGCGTCCTCGACGGCAGAAGAGGTCCCCACGAGCCCCCCCCACAGCCTCCGACATGCGTTCCAAGAAGGTTCCGAGACGCAGAAATTGGCCCATTCCGTTCGTGAAACGGAAGTTTTCCACAACTTCGGCCCTGGGCCTTTCCGATGCCTCCGACGGCCCAAGAGGCCCCCAAAGCCACTCCCAGACGGTCCAACAAGCTTCCAAGAGGGTCCCCCACATACCCCTGGAGGGCCCCAAGACGGGCTGACAGGCGTCCAAGACGGCCCAAGAGGGCCCCGAAAACGGTTCCAAGAGCGCTCCAGGAGCGGGCCGAGAGGCCCACAAGCTTCACATTGTCTGAGGGTGGCCCAAAGACGGGCCACGAGGCGTCCTCGGCGGCAGAAGAGGTCCCCACGAGCCCCCCCGAGGGCCTCCGAGATGCGTTTCCAGAGGGTCCGAGACGGAAAAGTTGGCCCATTCCGTTCGTGAAACGCACATTTTTCATAACTTCGGCTTTGGGCTTTTCCGATGCATCCGACGGCCCACGAGGCCCCCCAACCCAGTCCCAGACGGTCCCACAAGCCTTCCAGAGGGTCTCCCACATTCCCCTGGAGGGCCCCAAGACGGGCTCAGAGGCGTTCGCGACGGCCTCAGAGGGCTCCGAAAACGGTTCCAAGGGCGCTCCAGGAGCGGTCCGAGAGGCCCACAAGCTCCACATGATCTCCGGGTGGCCCCAAGACGGGCCACGAGGCGGTCTCGACGGCAGCAGAGGTCCCAACGAGCCCCTCCCGAGCGCCTCGGAGATGCGTTCCAAGTCCTTTGGTGAAACGCACCTTTTTCACAAGTTCGGCTTTGGGCTTCTCCGATGCATCCGACGGCTCACGAGGCCTCAAACCCACTCCCAGACGAGCACAGAAGCCTCCCAGAGGGTCTCCCACATACCCCTGGGGGGGCCCTAAGACGGGCTGGAGGGCGTCCAAGACGGCCCAAGAGGGCTCCGACAACAGCTCCGAGAGCGCTCCAGGAGCGCTCCGAGGCGCCCCCCAAGCTCCACATGGGCTCCAGGTGGCCCCCAAAACGGGCTCGGAGGCGGTCTCGGCGGCAGAAGAGGTCCCCACGAACCCCTCCCGAGCGCCTCCGAGGTGCGTTCCAGGAGGGTTCCGACATGGAGAAATGGGCCCATTCCCTTCGTGAAATGTTTTGTTTTCCCACATTTGGTTTTGGCCCTTTCCGATGCATCCGACGGCCCACGAGGTCCCCAATCCCACCCCCAGACGGTCCCAGTAGTCTCCAACAGGGTCTCCAACAGGGTCCCTGGAGGGCCCTGAGACGGGCTAACAGGCGTCCAAAACGGCCCAGGAGGGCTCCCACAATGGTCCCATGAGCGCTCGAGGAGCGGTCCAAGAGGCCCACGAACACCACACGGTCTACAGGTGGCCCAAAGACGGGCCACGAGGCGTCCTCGACGGCAGAGGAGGTCCCCACGAGGCCCCCCCAGGGCCTCCGAGATGCGTTCCAAGAGGGTTCGGAACCCCACATAACGCACCAAGACGTCCAAGAATCCTCCACGAGGGCCTTCTCACCAGCCCAAGAGGGCGTTCAGACGGGACAAGAGGGGCTGACGACGGCACCAGAGATCCCCGAAGACGGCGCGCGCGCGACTCGCGGTCAGATTCCCTGCAACTTGCGTTGTTTCCCGCCGTGCTCGTCGATCGCCTCCGCCGGGCGTTTCGGCGGTTCTCTCCGAGGGGCCCGTTCCGCCTTATAGCACGTGGCGCACACCGCAGGAGTGCCTCGGAGGAAATACTTCTTCTTCTGGTCTTTCCGACAGATGGCTGGCGTCCGTGAACGTAGGTTTGGATCCGTCCGTTTTCCGGGGGCATGCGGAGCATTCCAACCTCTTTGCTACCTGTCTTTGCTCGTGGCACGCTCGGCACACCACCGAGCGATGGCCCGAACCCTTCTTGAAGAAGTGCTTCACTTGCTCATCAGTCAGATGCGTCCGGTCCGTGAATTCTCGCTCTTTCCCTTCTGCTTCTTTCGGGCACGCGGAGCACGTGAGCGCTCGCGGCTGATTGCGTTCTCCCTGGCACGTGCGGCAAATGACTTGGCGATGGCCCGCGCCCTTCGCGAAGAAGTGCTTCACTTGCTCATCAGTCAGATGCGTCCTGTCCGTGAACTCTCGGCCTCTCCCATCTGCTTCTGTCGGGCACGCGGAACGCCTGAACACTTGGGATCGCTTGTGATGCGTTTCGCAGTCGCGGCATTTCACTGGCCCATGGGCTGCGCCCGTTGCATAATAGTGTTTGATTTGTGCTGTTGTCAGATGCGCCGCGTCTGTGAATTCCCGCCCTCTTCCGTCGGCGTCTCTTGGGCGCGCCGAACACCTCGGCGACGTCGTGCACTTCGCTTCCTTCTGCGCTTGGCTCCACTTGTTCCATCTGCCTTTCCTCTTTCCCGCGCACTTCTTGCAGAGCTTCTCCCCTGCGCCCTTCGTCGCGTACTGGTTCGCCGTAATTTCTGCCTCTGTCTTAAGGAATTCACAGCAGTCCGCGCAACGGATCTTGAATTTGTCTCGTACATTCCCCTGCCACTTGAGAGACCCTTTCCACGGCTTCCTCTGGGCTGGTGGGCCTGCGCACCTGTCGCATTTGCTTG